TCTTTTTTAGTTTATTCATTCCAAATTTGGAACTAACTTCCAATTTAAAAAAGTAATTTTTAAAATAGAAAACTTTCTATTTTAGGAAGCCTTTTTCGAAATAGAAAACTTTTATAATTGGAAACCTTTTTCAACATCTTTGCTTTTTTTTTTCTAATCATGTGAATGCTTAAAATTATGCATATGACTCAATAGGCTCCTAGATATGTTGGCAATGTATCGAGAATAAAAAATACCTCTTTTATCTCTTGATATATAAGTCAAGATTGGCCTTTAGTAAGGCATTATGACTACTCAATTCTCTAGAAGAATTAATTAATTCGTAATTACCTTTTATGAGCATGGTTACCATACAATTTAGTCCTTGTGTCAACTTATTACGAGTGTGATCTTGAATCAGGTCATTAGTCTTGTTCAATCATGATCTCACAAGTTTTCTTCAATTTCTAAATATCTTAGCTTTTAGAGTAAACCAGCTACGCTCTATTGTTATACTCCTACTATGGCCACATATTTCTTGATTAGACATTCATCAAAGTGTAATATGATAACTCCTTTAGCGTAAAAGGAATGACATGTTCTATCTTAGTCATTCACCTACCTTCATTAGATTCCTAGTGTACCCAACAAATCACCCATGTGTAACCCCTTACTTGGTCCATCGAAATGAGTGTCAAAGTACATAAATCCTCTAATGAGATTAACAAGGTGACCTTAAGTCTAATGAATAGTTATACCTATCTCGTATGAGATTCCCATAGAGTAAATCAAATGGGTTCTCATGGCGAGTCAAGTCTAGTGATATGTTCTCTAACATAAATCACCTAAGTGTTTGCTTTGGCATTATCATGCCAATAGGCATAAGATCTCCTACTACTGTCATATAGCATAAGCATAACACTTACAATTCTAACCACATATAGTCAATTTCCATTATTGATCATGATACGACTTGGGATATCTAACGATATCATTTATGTGCATTAGTGTTTGTATCACATCTTTTGATCAATCACTAATACCACTAATGCAAATGCATATCGTATGGACTTTTATCTCATTATAATCAATGAATAAATATCAATGATAAGTATTAATAAAAAGACTTCTTTTATTATAAACAATATAAATGATGAAATAATAAGTTAAATCCATCTAAACAAAGTTGGATTTTGAGCACGTGCACTAATAAGTTAGAGGTGAATTTAATATGCTTATTTTATAGTAATTTAAGGCTTTATATTATGTATAAATAGGAATAAATTGAAAAAAATCAACCTTTTTAAAAATTATATTAATATTTTAGTTTTTATTAAGTAGAGATTATAGAGAGTGCGGGATTGTTACATTGATTTATTACTCTAGAATTTGCTTTCAATTTTTTTTTTAGATTACGTTGATAGATGCATGCATAAATATTATAAAAAATATCTTTTAAATAAACTATTTTAGCCTAAAAAACATGTCCTTTAATTTGATATTGATAAGATCTTTTGAACTTAATTGACATTTCTTATTATATAGGGCATTAACAAGCCTTTTTAACCAAAAAAAACAAAAAACAAAAAAGCAAAAAAAGCCTTTTACCTCATCTTAAGAATTAGTAGAGCATTTGAATTATAAGTAGAATGAGTTTTTGAGCAAGTGTGGGGTGTGAAATTTGGAAGAAAAAGGGGGAAAAAGGAGAGGGGTAGTTTGCTTGGGTTAATATGTTGCTGAAAAAGATGGAGGTTGAAAAAAAAATATCCATAAAATTCCTTACCTTTCCTTAGCCACTTTAAAATCTTATGAAAAAATCATTTTGATTTGTGTTATGCTTACTAGATTGGGTTTAAATGGATAAAGTCATTGTATTTTAGGCTATCAAAGCCGATTGCAAAGATAGATAAAGAATTCGGATCCCGTGACTATTTGAAACACTAATTAGTGTTTGGACCATCCGAAAATATAAGAATTGGAATAAAATGATTCAAAATCTTGCACAAATATGACATCTAGGCCAATAACTTTCATGAAAAAAAACCAAATCCAAAATTTTATGCTATCCGATTTGAAATCGGTTTAAATGTTTCAACACATAATTTGGAGTTCTATTTAGGCATAAGGCCTAATTCATTTCAAAATCAATCCTAAATAAAACTTGTAGGTTATAATGTCTATCTACACACATGTATAAATAGCCTCTAGGATTACACATTTAGAACACATTAGATTGAAAAAAAAAAAAATACTTCTTTAGTTTTAGTATTTTTACTTTGAAAGATGCAAGGCTAATTTCTTCTCTTTCGATTCAAGAGAAACATGAATTTTGAAGACAAGCTCGTGAGACTCTTGATTTGATTTTATAATCTATTCATCTTTTCTATCTTTTATTCTTTTAAATTAATTGAGTGATGTTCTTCTTCTTAATTGCTTAAGAGATATGCTAGGTAACTACTATCAATAAATAATTTCTAAATTAGGTTTTATAATACATAAAGGATATAAAATCTATTCATAAATAACAATATAGATTAGTAATTTTAATGATGATATCATTAGAAGTCTAGAATAAAAGAGTACAAATTGAACTAATCAAGCTTGTGCATTGATTATCTGTTTTGGTTTTTCTTTAATTTGTTAATGCTATTGTTCAATTACATATAGATAGCTTGTTCTATGTGGTTTGATAATAATAATTCAAATTATTTGCTATTATGTTTGATGATTAAGTAAAAAGAATCGAGTTAATCTATACTTTTAGATTAATTTAGATTGAATGATAAATATGAGTAGTGTCTTTTAATGTCATCAATGATCAACTTTTAAAAGATATAGTCCACCTTTGGACCAAATTCTTCCTACTTGATTATTTCCTCATATCTTAATTTTGTTTTCGTACATTGAATTCTTAATTGATTTGGATAGATTAAACCCCCCTCCCCCTGCCTTTCCTTATTTTAGTCATCTAAATTTACACACAAGCACAACTCGAAAAGAAAAGAGATTAGTCTTTATGGGATCAACCTAAACTTATCGTTATCTATAACATTCAAGTTTCAATAATTAATTTTATAGTGTTATGGCACACTACCATCTTGCATGTCATTATTTATTTCAACTATTTTCCAAGACTATTTGTGAGTTTATTTCTAATTCTAGTCAATATGAATTTTGAATTAATTCATCATATTTATTTATTCAAGCCTTTAGAACTCAAAATTGGAAGGGTCCGAGAAATGGAACTTGGAGGTTTGTTTCCTTTTATTTAGGGATAAGATCTAAAAATTAGGATTTTGAGGGGTTTTAATATGACCTAGCCTAATTAAAGGTTTTCTAAGATCTTGTCAATATCATAAATTAAAGGATAAGAAGTATTTACTACAAAAATTACTTCGAATATTGCAACCTCAACGAATTGATAAATACATAAAAAGACAACTTAAAGCTATAAAATTATTTATGGAATCATTTCATATAGTTGATCTCAAAGTAAGGCATCTTGTCCATTTGTGTCATATTTTAAAAAACTTTTATAGAAAATTATACATGTGGGACATACGCAAAAATAAAATGCAAAGACTTAGAATGTAAATTAAAACAATCGTGATGCAAATAAAAAAAATTATAAATTTTAATGAATGAAGTAATTATTTTCATGCTAAATTAAAAAAAAATAATTGTGAAATCTCAATAAAATTACATCGAGCCAACATTAAAATTCATGTCAATCCAATATCAAATTCAATTAAATTTCTCATATGAATTTCATATGTGGAAATTTAAGTCGAAGCGTATAAGATATATAAATGCAAAATATAAATGCAAAATATAAATAAACATAATTATACAATCAAAAATAAAAATATTTAATATTAATATGCTAATCTATTTAAAATTAATTACGTAATCTCATCGGATCTATATCGGTCCTAAGAATAGGAGACTTATTGACTAAATGTCGAATCTGGATAAAGTTGTCATATAAAATTACATAAATAAATAATATAATCACATGATATGCAAATTATTATGAACAAATATGGTAAATAAATGCGAAAGTTTTTGAAAATAAAAAATTGAGTACTTTTAGTATGCAACCGTATCAAATGATGCCTATAAGTAAGAAAGCTACAATTATTTATGACAAAAAAAAAAAGAAAGTAATATTGCTCTATATTATATAACTATGAAGTGGGTGCAATTTTAGGGAAAAAAAAGTAAGACAACTAAAAAGAAACCAAGCCGGTATTAGGGACCAAATTGAACTAAAAAAAGGATAAATATAAAAATAATAGTTTGTCTCAAAGTCTCCATAATTCTATTCTTGTTTCTACAACTATACCATGCCGAAAACTAAGTTCCCTAACCGTGAGCACATAAAACATAGAATCAATAACAACCAACTTACAGACTCACCGAAACCCCTTTCTAACACATAAATCTTTTAAAAATAGCAATGAAATTCTACATTGCAACTAGAGTAGGAAAAACATAACTAAAAGCAAGGAAAACTTTGGTTCTAACAAAATACCTTCTCTTAATCAGACTTAGACATAGAGATTTGCAGTGAATTTTAACAACTAATAATCATTTGATGGAATAATAGGTAGGACATATACCTTGGAAAAAGCTATTATAAACCAACTTGAAAAATCCATGTTATTGTTTGCTCTTACCTACTGTGGAAATTATGGAGAGCAATAAACGGATCGCTTTTTAAGGGAGAGAAAATGAATGAGTTCAACATTAAAATAAGAGTAATATAATGGTTGCATGATCTAAACAAGTTATTCAATCCAAAAAAAGAGGCAACCTTCCATACTAGCATTTGCTTGGGAATTCCGGGTCTAATGACTAAAGATCATGCTCAAACTCATGGAAAGTGGCTCGGATGAGCTCTACCTCCCTATGGTAAGTTCAAGCTTAATACAAATGGTGTAGGAAAGAAAAATTTATGTGGGGGAGGGGACTTTTTTAGGATGACAAAGGAAATCCGATTATGGCATTCTCCTACTTTTATGGAGCTAGAACAAATTCTAAGGGAGAGGCAATATCTTTACTTGGATGGATCGAAATTATGTCAACTTTATAACCTTCTATGTGATATGGTGGAAGCAGACTACTCTTTCATAATAAACTATATCTCCTCTAATACTCTTGCTCGTGTAGGCTTATATACACTTTAAGAGAATGTTAACAATTGTCCTATGTAAGAATAGAGTGGAAGCAATGTTACGAGTAAGAGAATATAGTAGCAGATAAATTAATAGAATAGGCTTCGCACCATACCTCCTCTAAAACTATTTTCTCAATAAACCTTATACTATTTTTCAAGTAGCAATTAAGGAGGATCAATTTGGCTTATATAACTTTCAGCCTAAGTAAGTTACGTATGAGTTTTGTTAGAGTAGTTAAATCTCTCGCTTAGTACAACAAACATTTTTGCTATGATATCTAATTCGGGGGTGTAGGTTTCCTTATCCTCCCAACATGTTAGGATAGGCTAGTTTGTCCCCCTTGTATCTTTTATATGATATCAATATACACCTATAGGGTATCGTCCTAGTTTTCAAAAAAAAAAAAAACTTGAAAAATAAAACAATAGAAGCATGTTTAAGGGTTAGGAATTTAGACTTGATTACTTGATTAATCCTTACACTTTCCTTTCTCTCTTTCTTTTGCTTTTTTCTTTGTATTTACTTCCTTTGTTCCCCTCTTCAAAACCAAGTTTCTACTCACTCATGGCTCACCAAAAATATCTCATGTTTCTTTACTCAAAACTATCCTCTTTGTAGCACTATAGATAGCAATTTTTTTAGGCCTTTTTTTCATAAAATTAAGGCCCTTTATAGTGTATAATTTATCCATACCCTCTATGTTTTTGCTAGCTTCTATTCATGGTTCCTAGTTACAGTAAAAAAAAAAAAAAAAGTTGAAAGGGTAGTGCTTTTTTTTTTTTACAGCTTTTTGGCTTATGAGTGCAACATTTTTTATTTAGTTTTTATTGGTAAGGGACAAGTTTTTTTGCATAGAAATTTTAGAACCATTGCAAGGCTTGATGCATTGTTTTTCCTAGTTGTAATGGGAGGGAGAAAGGGAAAAAGTGAGAGAAAGAAGGAAAAAAGGGGGGAGAGAGAGAGAGAGAGTAAGAGAGGGGTGAAAAAGGATGAAGAGAGAGAGAGGGGGAAAGAGAGGGAGAGAGAGAAAATGGGAGATGGAGATGGAAAGGGAGAGGGAGATGAAAATAAAGAAAGGGAGAGGTAGAGGGAGAGGGAGAGAAAGAGAGGGAGCGAAAAGGGGAGAAAGGGAGAAAAAGAGAGATAGAGAGAGAAAAAAGGGAGAGAGGGAAATAGAGAGAGGGAGAGGGAGAGGGAAAGGAAGAGAAAGAGAGAGGAAAAGAGAGAAAGGAGGAAAAGGAAAGTAGAAGAGAAATAGGAAGAAAAGGAGGGAGGGAGGGAGGGAGGGAGAGTGTGTGTGTGTTAGAGCGGACATTTTTATCTCTATTTTACTAAAAAAAAAAAAACAAAACATAGATAAAAATGAATTCTAGGGGAAAGGAGGAAGAAGAAAAGAAACATAAAGCTTTAGATGTATTCAAATAAAATTTAATAAGAAGGCATATATTACACCCTAATGTTTGTCCTCTAGCATATTGATGATGACAAATTTCAACTAACATCTCTAACATCTCCTAACTTAAAAATAAATATTGTTTTTAAGGAAGAATTTTTCATCACCAATATTTAAACTCTTGAGATAACAAAATTAAATGTTGGTGTAAATTTTAAACAAGTAATTCCAAAAGTGCACCATCATTGTGATTGCTTCCATTAGTAGATCAAATACTTCATGCACCATGAAAGACATTCTACTTCCTAAAAAAAGATCTTGATATAAGTTTTGAGTGTAGTGTACAAACACAATAATCCTAAAAGGAAAAAGAACAATTTTTTTATAAAAAAAAATCTAATGCCAATTATAATAACTTTGTAATCCAACTCACTTTTCCCCTAGGGGTAAAATGTTTATCCACAATAAATCAAGACAAACCAAATAAAATAATTGGAAATGACAATTAAAAAAGAGAAATTGTATATGGGTAAAATAAGAAAAGGAATTTGGATGAGATTAAAGTTTAGTAGGTGAAGAAAGGATGAATAACAATAAAAAAAAGTGGATAAAGACAACTTGCGTATATGCTTACATGCTTTGAATTAATATATTTTCATTAATCAAAATTTATTAAAAATATATTATAATTTTTTTTAAATAATTAATACACACCCACCAATTTTATTTATTATTAATTTTGTTTTGCAACTATTTATTTAATAACTATTTTAAACAAATAGTTTTTTTTTTAGTCACGACTACAATACCTTTTGCAATATAAGTGGTTTGAGGAAAAAACAAAATAATGTATATTATATAAAATATAATTTGTTAACATTATAGAAATATAACCTTATAATATGTTTTTGAAGAAATAACATATAATTTTACATTTAAAAAATAAATTTTGCGATAATCATATAGGAGTAAAAGTTCACTTTTATAGTTTATTTTCTAATAAAGTTCAATTTGATTGTGCTAATTGTAACTTCCCAACATCGGACAAAACTCCCAAAATTTTTGAATTATTTATGATTTTGGAAAAGTAAGTTATTATTAAATTTGGCTGTCACCTAGTATTATAGGAACAAGGAAACTAAAAATAGCACTAGTCTAGAGATTATAGGGTAAGGAGTTGGTTACACTTTTGGAAAGATATTGATCACTCAAAAGCACTCTTTTCTAAGAAAGGTAACATATTTAGGTAAGTCCAAAAAATCATCTCCTAAAATATTTTATTCATGTCAAATTATTTTTTATTTGAACTCTAATTTTTTTTCTATGCCAAATTAAGTTTTTTTATTTTTTATCATGGCATCGTATTGAAACAATCATCGAACCCCTTCGTCGGGAGACACGTCGGTTCAAACATTGAATCCACTTTAACTCTCGATACAATTGGTATGTTGAAAAGCATCTTGATTATTAAACTAATGATTTTTTTAGCTAACAACAATCCCTATCAAAAACTTTGTTACAAATTTTAATTTTAATTAATTATTTTATTTCATTTTATTATTATTATTTCATTTTTATAATAACGAGTCCCTATCAAATATAAGAATTTGTTAAGAATTTTTTTTTTTTAATTTTGGTTAATGTTAGTCCTTATTAGAGAGGAAACTTCGTTAAGAATTTTAATTTTAATTTTTTTTGTCTAAAGTTTTTTTTTATCTTTATTTTTTTTATTGTTTTTTATATTTATTATTTATTGATAAAAAAAAATAATCATCGGTTTCTAAAAATTAGGAGACTTGAAAATCCATTTATCAATTAATTACCTAACCAAATTATTATAATAAATTCTAAAATTTAAAGTTAGCTAAATAAATTCTAAAGCATCTAAAAAAATTAAATCTAAATTGATATGAGAAATAAAAATGCATAGATAAACAAAAACATTCAGATTCAAATTATCTAAAAAATGAAAGCAAAGCATAAAAAATAAAACCTTTTATTGGGGCTTTGGCCCATTGGCCTAAGCCTTATTCCCTTTTACTAATCTTTTCTTTTCTTTTCTTTTCTTTTACTAAACTAGTTCCAATTTGTTTTGTTTTATATTATTTTATATTTTTTTGGGTGAGGTCTGGACTAGTTCCGACTTATTTTTCCTTCTTGGTCGGACTAGTTCTAACTAGTCTTGTTTACTTTTTTTTTTTTTTTTTTTATCGAGTGTCCGGGCTAGACTAAAACAAGCCTAGCCTTTATTTTGCATAGGTTAGGCTTGACCTAACCCACACTTATCTTTTTCCCGAACTAAGTCCACAAACATAAGTATATTTTTTCTTTCTTTCTTTTTTTATCAAAACCGCAATTTCTCACTTTCTTCCTTTTATTCATCTTGTCGAGAAATTCTTTTCGAACTTGAACCTAAGAATTAATATGAAAAATGGAATGGTGATTACATTAGGATTACATGAATGAAGCCAAAGAAATGATGGATGATTTTCAAGACCTTGTTGTTGTTATGGTTATTGATTTGGAAGGCTAGATTGATCTTTTGAACTCGGAACAAGTGAGAATGATTAACTTGAAAGTTTATTGATGATTAGGGATTCACTAAGATCTGGAAGGGGATGCTTGAGATTCAAGACAACCAAACAAACCTAAGAATGAGGAATAGAGATCCGAAACAAAACCAGAAAAAAATAAGAATAGGAAACATAGAAAAGGACCACCAAACCCGAAATAGAAGAACACTCAAGAACACCGCCTGTAAAACTTGAATGGAAAAACCTAGAAACTTCAAATGAAACAAAAAAAATAAAAAAATCTAGTTAAAGAACCTAAGAAATTCAAAATGAAGCCGAGAAAAACCCGGAAACCAAATTGAAGAACCCAACAAATGAAGAACACTTGCCCAAAAAATAAAAAACACTCCCTAGAAATCCAAAAACAAAATACGTAAATTGGAAAATGCCAAAATCACTCTTTGTTCTTGATTTTCTTTTTCTCCCCCTCTTTCTCTTATCTCGTTTCCCCTAGCTTATACATACACCTTACCCATTTCCTCACCCTAGGATCAATCCCTTTGTCGTAGATTGCCAAATGTTAAAGCCAAAAACCTAGTACTGGATTTTGGCATTTTATGAACAAAAAAAAAAAAATAGAGTACCTATGTGTGTGTAGTGGTGCAATGTGGTGTAGAGTGGTGTGATTCTTGGCTAGTACAATTGCTAGCTAAGAATCACATAGGTTCGGGACAAATTGTGGAGAATTTTATCTTCAAGGAAACTACCGATATTGAAACCCAAGAATTCCTTCTAGATGGGAGCGAATGATAGACCGTTTGCTGAAACTTAGTCCCGTTGTTCGCCTCTAAACTTTAATTTGGTCCTTGTAAATTTTAATTATCTCGCAATCGCATCCTTTTGTTGTGTAATTTCAAACCTTGTGAATTATAATTTTATCAATTGGGTTCCTATAAAGTATAATTTAGGTTCTAAATTTTCTAATTGATTCAATTGTATTCCTAATTACCTCAAATACACTTTCATTTGATTTAATTGTAGCCTTGGGTACAAATAATTTTTTTATATTTTATACATACATCTATTTTTTTGTATTTTGTATTTTAATTATTTTTTTACGGTAAATACCTAAAATAAAATAAAATGGAAATAAAATAAAATGAAGATAAAATAAATAATAAATAATAAAAAATAAGAGGAAGTTTTTGGGTTATGACAGTTGCCTCCTCTTTACAATGCTCACGATGTAAATTCTAGCTGAAGTGCATACTTTAGATTTGGTTTGCTTAGTGAGTTTGTAATGAAAAAATTAAATTTGATGGAGAAAATGGTTTGGTTGACATGGATGGCTCGATTTATAAATTAAAATGCAATGCGATAGCCTTATTATCAAAAGCAGACCTACCCTAAAAATTAAAATGCAATGCGAGTAGCTTTATTGTTAAGGGTAGCCCACCTTGAAAAAGAAAATATAGTATGTAACCATGTTGTCAAGGACAACCTACCTTAAAAGTTAAATATGTAGTGAATGACTATATTGTCAAGAGTGGACTATCCTAAAAATTAAACAAGTAGTGTATGGCCATGTTGTCATGGGTAGCTTACCCTAAAAATTAAATGCGAGTGTGTGGATAGGTTTTAATGGTAGCCTATTTTGAAAATTAAATATGTAATGTGATGGCCTATTATTGGACAACCCTACTAAAGATAATGGTCTATTATTGGACGACCTTACTACGTAAGAGGTCTATTACTCGGGTGACCCTACTAGAGATGAAGGTCAATTATTGGGTGACTTTTTTGGAAATGATGATTTATTACTCGGGCTACCCTTTCGGAGATAATGGTTTATTATTGGAAGACCTTATAAGAGATGATGGTTTATTATTAGATGATCCTATCGGAGATGATGGTCTATTATTAGACAACCCTATCGGAGATGATGGTCTATTATTGAGCGATCCTATTAGAGATGATGAACTATTATTAGGTGATCTTGCCAAAAATGATGGTCTATTATTAAGTGACCTCGCTAGAGATGATGGCCTATTATTGAGCGACCATGTCCGAAATGATGGTCTATTATTGGGTGACTCTACCTAAATGATGGTCTATTATTATACAATCCTAGCTAGATGATGACCTATTATTGGGTGATCTTGCCTAGATGATTTAGGGAACATGAGCTCCTTTTGAATTTAGGAACTTAAATGATGGTTTTATCTTTTTATTTTAGTTGACGTTCCCGAAATATATCAATAAGATTGATTGTAATAGTTAGTTTCTTTCTTGTATGAAACATAGGCTACCCTTATTGGCACTCAACTTCCACTTTGGTGCCTCATTCTAGACTTTTGTACTAGATCCTATCAAAATTTCCTTGCCCCTAGGCCTTGGTCACTATTCATTATAAACTCGAGTTTTTCACTTTTTCCAACCAACTAAGGTAGATAGAATTAGTGAATAGTGATGGAATTGTGACATAATATTTTTTGTTGCTATTTCGCTTGTCACTAATTTCTTACAATGAAAAATCGAATCCATTGCTACATTAGTGATAGAAAATTTATCGCTACGTAAAAAAAAATCATCGCTAATCTTGTCATGGGATATGTTGTTTCTCTCATCGCTATTGTCATCGCTAATTTTTAAAGTAAAATTATTAATAGTTCATTGCTATTTTGGCTCTAAATTTGAAAATAAATTTGTTGCTATTTGGTCTCTAATTTTGAAAACGAATTTGTTGCTATTCCATCGCTATTCGGTCGCTCAATTTGAAAATGAATTTGTTGCTAATCTGTCATAATTCGATCGCTAATTTTAAAAACAAATTTATCTTCATTCCATTGCTATTCCATCGCGAAATTTTTTGAAATTTTTCTTAATTTTTTTAAAAATTATTAATATGGAATTTAATAATTAATAATTAAAAATTAAAAATTTTAAGTAATAATTTATATATTAAAAATAAAATAATATTAATAATATCATTCTAGAATATGTTCCATAAAAAGAAGAAAAAAACAAAGTGACTAAATACTCTATCAATCATCCCGTACGTCTAATCCCATATCCTCGTCCCGATACCGTGTGGAGGGCTTGTTTGGAGGATCCACTAGAGGCCGAACTAGAGGCCGAGTGGAAGGAATGGTAGATTACTAACCGAATGATGAATTTATAGGCATCCCGGTTGTTTGTGCTAGCCTCATCACCAAGAATGCCATTGACTCATACCGAGATTTCATACTATAAATAGTTTGATGTCGCTTTGGGATCTAGCTATGCTTCGCTCTACCACCTAGTTTTAAAGCTCATCGTGTATCACCTACATTCCCTTCATTGCTTCCTCCGTAGCCTTATAGTCCCTCCAAAGCTCTTCGTTAGCCAAGTCAATGGTGTAATACAACGTCGCCGAGGACGAGCCGCTACTACTCGACTAGGAAAAATAATGCATTGAATGTGTGCCTATACCATAAAATCTTTTCTTCTTCTCCTCGACGAGTCTTAAGGTATATGGCATTCGGTCAACTTCTAGCTCCAAAATTCCTTCCGCCCTCCGAGCTACAATCGCCTCATTTATGAGCTCGCTCCACATGCTCTTGCATAATCAAAATAATGATATCATCATTAGAGGATTAAAATATATTTTGGATTATCTTTTCATATTTAATATTTTTATTGAAAAACACTTACCATTGTCTACTAGGGGTGCGGATCGACAAATGAACCATCTCATCACTTGTGAGTCCTCTTGAACAACTCAAAATTTGTTGGCCGACGACTTAATTTGACTCGTAAAAAAAATCCATTATAGATGATATGAGAAGAAAATTAAAATTTTATGAAATAAGTCAATAATAATAAAGAATGTGAAATTTACCAAACAACGGGCATGCTCTTCCGAAGATATGAAGCCCCCTGTGTGCTCGAACGAGCCATGTGATTAGGTCTCCCGAAATATGCTTACCACACATCCCGGACCTTCGACTAACATAAATAGGTTGGTCGTTTCTCTTACTCATCTTGCGGATGAAGTTAGCATAGCATTTTCTAGCGACACCCTCCCATGCCACTCTAACAAGTGCATCGATGTCCTCATCCTAGGCAAAAAATTTCTATACGAACAAAAAAATTTATATAATTTATGTAAGAAGTTTTTTATTTTAATTATAAAGAAAATTAATAATACATTACCCAAAATTCATTAAAGTATAAGTCTTTAGTGACGTCGGTGATACCTTTCCATGATGATCCACTCTTGTCTACCTGTTCCTTAATAATCTCGGTGATCCTTATAGCATAATCTCTAGTATACGGAGTTAAACTATCGAACAATAAAATGATGAAAGAAATATTAAAAACAACACATCAATTATTGAAATTACATATTAAAGGAAAAATATAAATACATATTGTCCTTAATTGACGAAACAATATGTTGCCGACTTGGAGGAGTTATGAAAACTCTCCGGAATGTTAGATACATGGTCGGAGAGGGGCCACTTTTGAAGGTCGATGGTGGAACCTTAGGTGCCGATGTTGGAACACTTACTAATGCGGATGTGCTAGCTCCATGACCGTAGGAGCCGTGGGATCCATGGAAAAGGCCCGTTGTTAGAGACCACGATCAATACCGGTATGAGATCCTAACGAACTACCCTCGGACGATGATGCTCATCCATAATTGTCAAAATGTGATCCGGTAGTGACTATAGGGGGATGACGTAAATCACGATTAGCACGAGTCATTCGTTGTATGATCTAACGCTAAACAAATAAACAAAATATAATCAATTTTTTGTTAGAGTCAATTAATTGGTAATTAAATTAAAATACATCATTTGTTATGGATATAAAACAATCAAAATACATAACAAATATTTAGTGGAAGTAGAAAATAGATATTATTAACTCGCATGTAACAAATTAATAAAGAGATAAAAATTACATCATTTCTTACTAATATAAAAAATGAAATATGAATTTAATTAGAACTATCATAATCATTGTTTAAGTTATC